CTATACTTCTCCACCAATTCTTGTAAACGCTTTTTTTGGGTGCAGGATATAGTTATAAAGAAAAATTACCTAAACATTAATTTATAATTAATTGAATAAAATAACTGAAATTAAAACGTTAGTTAACTTTTGGAGAAAAAGTAATTTCTTTCGGTCGTTATTATAAAAAATTGACGTCGTGCCGAGAGATTAGACGGGTCAGGCGACAACGACTGTTTACCGTCTGCAATTTTATTATTGATATTATAGGCCATAAAAAATAAAAAATAAATAAATCATAAACATGGCTATAGGCGTGTTCCTATCGATACAAAAACAATGCACGTAGTCATCTGTAGACTGTAGGTACCTATACGTCTGAAGTGTACCTACACTATCATGTTTATTACCTATGTACACGTCATGATATTACATAAAATATGGGTAACCCAGTACCAATATTGACTACAGCAGCTATCGCGCGATTGTAAAACGCTATAAAACCAATAACTATATTGTTTACCTAATCAATATTATTGTCAGGACTCACGTTGTATTTACACTTTAGTGCTTTACTTTACACGAAAGAATGATTCTCTGGTTCGAGGTTTTCCTTGTTCCAAGGTGTCCTGCAACGACCGCGGTGGTCTGGATCTGGAAAAAAAATAGAACAAAAATTGTACACACAACATTACAACGTCACAACTATTAATATTGTTATTCCATCTATAGTGTTGTACTGTTTGCGCACATCGACCGCTCGCGTAGTTTCCGATACCACTTATACACGTACGGGGGTGAAAATACACGTCAACGTATTATAAATGTCAGTAAAATAAAATATTTTAAGCAGCTCTAGAACGAAATATACCTAATTATATTTTAAATGTATATTATAGCGAAACGAATGTAGATGCTCGTAGCTTATATAGGTATTAAATTATATAGTGAACAACTATAGAAGACATCGAGATAACGAATATTGAACATTAATGAAAAATAATGACGAATATGATTCTACATATTATATTTTATTTTATTTTTAATAAAACGATTTTACAGTCTACGTCAATGCCTTATCACTAGAGAGGGCTAAAGTATGTCTCGCGCAAAACTATCTTTTTCTCTAGGAAGTGAATTTTCGCATGTGTGGACGTCACTTTCAGTAGAGGAGGTCCGACGAGAACAGGGTAGAACAATCGGAAAGATGACGGAGTAATACGAAGTAGTATTTTTTGCACTGTACACCGGTATACCGTGGTTCAAACCGATTACCACGCACGTCAGGGTCAGCTGTGTGACGAATGACCATTGCACCACATTGCCCCTAATTCGATACAGTTATTTAATAATATTTAGTAAGTGTTATGTAACATTGTAACATTATGTTAATATACCAAATAACATAAACACGTTAAAAACCCGATAACAATTATTTTGAGTATGCACTTGAAATTTATTTGGGGTATTCATTTACCCTGCAGTGCAAATTATCCCGGGTTAAAAACAAAACTATGCATACCTGTGTCTTATCTGCACCTATAAAGAATAGTACATGAGACGTGCATTATTACCACAAGACATTTAAGTATAGACTATACTGTATAGTCTATACAGTTATACTTCTATTGCAGAGCAGATCCAAAGATGGATTTACTTTTTCGAAATGAGAGGGAACCATAAAATGTTTGTATGCAAAACTTTATAAAGGCAAGGCGGGCGAGCAGAAATGGATTGAGGATGGCCAATGTTACTAAATACTTTTTGCACCCCTAAAAAAAATAATATAGTAATTAGTAATGTATTTCAAGATTTCCAGTACTAGCTTTTATGTTCGATAATACATAATATATTAAAGCTTTACAAAACATTTTTTTTTTTATAAAAATGAAAATATAAGATAAGTAAACTTTAATGAGTTAAATAATAATAATAGGCTTACAATATCATAGTTACGTATTTTAATAATTTGATTATGGTAATATTAAAAAAAAAAAATTAATTATTCTGTATTTAGATATCTTTTGTCCCGGATTTTAATAAGACTAAAAACAATCCTTCCAACTTACATTTGAAGAAGGTAAACGCTTAATGATCATCCTTTATAGCACAAATAACTTTTGAAATAATTTCTTTATTAGCATAGGTCCAATTAAAGCTCTAATTTTGTGGAGGGCTTATTTTATAAATAAGATAGACACCAACAAAACTTTCATCCACCAAACCCCCAACATAATAACAATATGACAAATCAATGGTAGGTAATATAACAGAAGTTAATATGAAATTGTTTACAACTTTCGGTAAAATATAATTTACAAATCTTATGTATTTCCCCCCGCTAACTAGATATATATTAGCCAAAATCTTACTAAGAAAGTAATAGATACTTAATATAACTACATATAGATAGAAATAACAAGTAAATAATAGAATTTTAGTATCAACTGTGAACTTAAATATTACTTTACCAAAAGTTATAAACAATAATATATTAACTTTTAACATCTGTCATCCTACCACAGAAATAATGTAAAAATAAAAATATAATTAAAATAAATGTATATAAAAGCTTAAAAAACACTAAAAAATATGTACCTATGTACTCGTAATTTATATTTTAATGCTAATTCCCTATATTTTGAACTATAAATTTCCGAAATATTATCAGTAGGTACCTATTCTAAAATTTAATAAATAGTTCTAAAAAAAAAAAACAGGCACAGTTCCCGCAAATTGTTTATTTATTTTCTAAAAATATTACAACACTATTATTGATTTGTATTAATGTAAAATGCGATAAGTATGCCCAATTTTTATCAAAATCTGTATTAGATATTGTGCTAAGTATAAGTGACCAAATACAGAATGAATCGTCTGGGTGTTATTATTGAACATCCACATTTACCACATCGTTCACATCATAAACATGTGGAATATTACATTTTTTAATATTAATGTGTTACTTAAAAATGTCAATTTTTTTCATTATAAAAAATAAAACGTATCGAATTGACAGCAAGGGTACTTAAATTCATATGAAAGTGCTTCGTTGTTTCGTAAAATTTGAGGAAATAGGAATGATGATGATGTGTTTATTTTTTAATAACATAAGCTGAAGCACGTGACTGAAGCGGTCACGATTTGTGATTACAGACGACTCATCATCGGACAAACCACGTTAATAAGTGTTGGTATCGTGGCGTCAGCGAAGGCCGCTGACCTGCCGTTATGCTTTTTAAAGCGAAAATGTTTTAATCGTGTTTATCGCTAAACCTAACGCATTGATAATGTAACAAAATGAAAACAACAAACCTTTCTATTTTATTATAATTTATAATTGATTTTAATTTATCATAATAATATTTAATAAGCGGTCCTCAAAATAAATTTTAATATGCTAAACGCCTAATAAGCCCCGCTAATTGCGTCTATGTTTATTATTAGGTAACCAAAGTTTTTAAAAACGATGTTATGTAACAAATCAAATTATAATTTGCATTTTGATGAAAATCAATAACAATACTATTAAATCATATTATCAATTGTTCTTCAAAATCTGTTACTAAAATAATGTATTTAAAGTAAAAATAAAAAATTAATAAAATAATTTAACGTCACAATTTCAATTTATAAATTACCTATTTTAAAAAACGTTAAAAAAAAACATAACTAATTATGAATAATTATTGTATTATATAATTTATTTTTGGATAAGTAATTTATGACCTCCATCAAAAGTTGCTGTCTGGAGCAAAATATATTATTATACATTAATTTAGTCTTAAAAATTAGATATTTCAGCATTTGTATATAATTAAAAATGTCATTGTTAGTTAATAGGCTTGTTATTAGATTATTTATTTGTTAATGACCTAACCAATAAAATAAAATAAAGATAACAGTATTAACAGGTAATTTTCAAAAATTAATATGTAGGTACTTTAAAAATTCATATTTAAGTTTTCTTAGTTATTGCTATTTGTTACACTATGTAAAATTTTATAAACTGTCCGGTGTTATGTTTTTATTTAAATTTCTAGTTAGTACAAAATAGATTTATAATTATCCGTTCGGTTCACCAGTATTTTAAAAACTAAAATAAACAATGAAATATATACATATATATGTAGTACTATAGTCCAGATTTATTGTGAAAACAATTTCAATATTTTGGAATAAAGATTTTGTTTGTATTATTCCATATTTTAATTGTACAAAAATAAAAAATAAATATCTTAATTGTTTAGAAAAATTTTAACAAGCATAATGTACCAGCAACTTTGAATATGAAAAGAAAGTATCCAAGTTTTTTAATTAGTTATAACTTATTAACATTTGAAAACCTAAGTATTAATGTATTACCCAGTTGCTAAGACATAATACATTTATACAAATACTAAATATTACAGATTTATAAATGATCAAATCAAATCAAATCACAATTATTTTTGTTCATAAAATATATCGTCATTATATTATGGCTAATACTCAAAATAATAAATAGTTACACAATTTCAGTTACATGATTGTATAGATATTATATTTAATTATATAAATCAATCCATCAATGGAAATATAAAAATATATCAATTATTTGATAAAACAAAAAAAATAATTGTCATATTATAGCTCTTAGAGTTACAAATTAAAATAATTTAACAATATACCTTAATCTTGATAAAAATAAATGGTATAATACAAAATCGATTTTATAAAAATTTGTCTAAGTTATCATCATTTGCTCGTTTTTAAATGACAGATTATATTGCATAAATATATCAATAATTGTTTTAAGTTTATTATTATTTAAACATTGTACATTATATATATATATAAAACACTACAACCACAGCCATAGATTGATCATAATGTATAAAACTAGAACAAATATATGATATACATAACAACAGAATTTTATGTATAGTTACTTACAATTCAATATAATACTTTAAAAATTATGAATTTTAATAAAATAATAGTTTATTGAAAACTTTGATTTAAAAAAATTAATTATAGGCCACATGTTACAACATAAAAATACAATATGACTAGAATTTATTCATCTGTACAAACATTTCATAAACTCTTATAATTAATAGCTATTTAATATCAGCCTTTTTTATTTTTATAGGGAGGTTTATCAGCATTACGTTCAGCAGATACTTGTCTACGTAGATCATTAATTAATGACATAGGTAATGATCCAATGTCTGAAAACATTTGCTAATAAAAAAAAAAGTCAATTTTTACAAACCATAAATATGCACATTATAACATCTAAAAATTACATACTTTAATAAATAGATGGCAGTTTAAAGGAAATGGCCGTTGAATGATTGACTTAAAACACTCTGCCAATGATACAATGTCTTCGCATTCCAACAATTCTTTTTTATAATATTTTACCAACATCAAACCAACTCTAAATATAACTTTAGATCCTTCATAAAATAAACAATCCCAAACTCTTAAAGTTGTCTATAAAAATTAAACAATAATAATATAAAATATATAACAAAATAAATACTTATATATAACTATAACTATTATAACTATTATATTCCTCAAAAAGAAAGAAAATCATTCAGTTAAAAAGGTTCTGTTTCAAGTTATTTGATTTTAATAAATTAGTTTTAATTATAAAATAATTATTATGATTAATTACCAATACAAGCAAAACTATTTAATAGTTAATTTCTAAACAAATGATAAAATTTCAATTATTTTCATAGTGATTAAGAGCATGTTATAATTTGTAAAAATAAACTTTTTTATTTTCAAAAAAATTAGCACTTAGCACTTTGCAGGTTTGACTATTTATTTATAACTATACAATATAATAGATAAATGAAAATAATGAAAATATGAAATTGTTAGGATTAATAAAGGATGTAGCACGGAATCAATATTAGAGACTGAAGAGTTGTTTAGGAGTATAGTGAAGAAATTGTATAGTTTATAATTTGAGTAGCAGAAAACACTGTAATGTGAGAGTAAAGCTGATTGAATAATTTGAATTACACCAAACGAGATGTAATGAATTATTTTTAAATTAATTAAATTGAAGAAATATTATTAGAAATTATACTTTATTGTATTATAGTAAAATATACAAAATTAAATTTAGTACCTCAATTGGTAAAACCTCAGAAAAAAGGCAAATAAACCATTTAGTAGCAACTAGTGCCCATGGCATTTCTAAATCATTCATATGTTGAGATACTTCAGGACATTTTTTTCTAAAAAAATAAAAATATAAATTAGGTTCATAGTTTAATATAAGTACACAAAAATATACATTATTTTGTTTTGTTTTACAGTTTTTAATATAAAATAATAAATATTATTATTTACTTTACTAGGCGTGAAAAAACTTCAATATCAACAATGACACCATCCATTGTTTTAGAATAATAGTCTGGTAGTTTATTCTCCACCAATACTCTTAGTAACCAAAAACAAGTTTCTTCATTTTTTGTAACTAATAGCAATAAACCAGCTATGTAATTTAAACCCTGCAACAACCATTTATGATTATTATTTTTATTTGACTATAATATTGTTAATTAAACCTTAATAGTTATGAAATATTGAGTCATAAACATATAATTTACTGTACAAACATTTATTAATTTTATTTCTTATTTTGTTTATCAAAGTATGTAATTTAAATCTTTAATTAAATTAAAGTATACAAATAAACATATTCTTTATTAATATAACCTTTAATTTGTTTAATTTTTTTACTCTCTTACTATCAATTATCTTAATGTAAACCAATATTATTATTTTTTTATCAAATACTATGTATTTGGGTGCAAGCCAGGTTTTTCTTGAATAAATAAATAAAAATTATTAACGTATTACAATATTTGTTGTTACAAAGTACTGAATAGTTTGATATAAAATAAAAATTTGGTTCTTTTATATCAGAGAATAAAATAAAAGATAATCTAAAACTCGTTGGTCCACTTAAAATTCTTATATAATAGGTAGATATTTATATATCTTTAGCAACAAAAAAATCCAAGTAATAAAAATTTAATTACTCAAATTATAAATGAAATTATTAAATGTATGCCTCTTTCATAAATATTTTTATTATATAATTTATAGTCAAATTAATATCGTACATTTATTTATATTTAATTTTAAAAAATGTTATTGTAATGCCTACATAGTGGTAGTTAATTGATGTTATAAATCATTGTTTTATATAATAAAAAAAAGGTAAAATTGTAACAATAGAAAGTTTAACTATTTAAAATAGTGCTGAGAGCACTAGTGAAATTATTGTTTTTTAGTCCCCACCACCAGGCACTGGAGTATAGTAGACAAAAAGTACCAACAATTTTGTACTATAAAATAAGTTTTGGGACATAAGTTAAAGTCAACTAGTCTTGAATAGAGATTATTGTAATCTTTATTGTTTGTGGGCTCCAAAATTCTAGTTTCAATATCAGTTATTGTTAGTTAAGAATGATTAATGAGCTATTTAACTATACTTCGCTATGTTATTAGAAATGAATAAAGATGTTTTAGGCTTGAATTTACATTTTCTTTTTTAAATGTTTGTAAATATATTGAATTAAATTCTTTTACATGTTCATATTTTTAATAGATTTTATAGTTCAATGAAGCTAAAATAAATTAAGTAAGTTATCATTACCTAAGTAAAATACTTTATTGCTATTCATGTTTTAAAGAAATAAATTTTTTACCTATTCTGGACAATCTAAGGACTGTAAAAAAATAAAATAATTTTATAAACAATTAGGGTAAGATAAATTAAGGAGCACTAAATTGGATAGAAATTAAAATATACCTGACAGTACCCTACATCTGGATTACATGCTGCAAATGCACATAATATCCTAAATAAAGTCTTTTGATTTTCTGAATTTGGGTGAAAATAAATGTTGTCTGGATATGTTCGTGGGACATCAACTGTGATTATATTCCTAATGTCTTCATTAATTGGTTTGTTTAGCATGCGTTTATATGTATTTGGTCCATACTTGTCCTTTAACTTCTGCACACCACTGATAGAGGTCCAAGTCTAAAAGATATGTAAGTAAGATGCAAAGTTTGAAACGATACAAAAAACATTATATCTATTAATGTATAACTAACCTGTGCCCTAAGTGAAAATGGAATTCCTCTGCGCACAAATTTTTTTAGTTGACTGTTCCTCTTCAGCTCTGGGTTGGACGCCAAGAGACGTGACCACCTCATTGAACATTTTGTAAGTATCGTAATGTAAACAGACATGAACTTTTCATATTCGACGTAATCAAAATCATCGGGGCGCACGAATCCGTACTCATCGGATTTGCTGTGGACGATAAAATTTAAATAACACAATTGTAAGGACAACAACAAAAATAACAGCGTAATGAAAACGAAACATTGTGACATGATAATATTATATCTAAGGAAAACTTACCTGAAAGTCGAAGTTGACATTTCTAACGCGTTCGGCGGTGTTCATGAAAACGAAATAACGAAACGCGTTAAATGCATTTATTTATTAATCGTATGGCTACGCGTTAAATAAGACGTTCAAATACCGCCGGACTCTGGTAAGGACGTGCAACCAGTGAAATACTAATTATTATTATTATTATTAAACAACTAGTAGTGGTTCTGCTACAGCCGCTGACCGGTCTATCGTCACAATAATCGTTTGTCGTGCGGCTATGCACGGCTATGTAATATCGTGATCATATTATAGCATACAAATAATAATATTTTAAATCTATATTATTTAAATATTGATAGTAATAATAATGATAATGATAATAGTGTAAAAATCATGTGCGGTTGTTATCACGCAAGGTTTATAGATAATACGTCCGGTTATCGTAGACTGTTGCCGTTATCACTAGAAAAACCGTTATCAGTTATCGTATTTCGTCTTGCTGAAGGAGGGTCACGACTCACGACACACGATAATAATATTATTATAATGTGGAACAGATGGTTTGGCTCATTGACCTATTGTTTTGGGTCAATGGTATGTTCCATATCTCCATGACTAAGTATCACGGTTTAAGATGATATCGCGATGTAGTGAAGATATTATATTCTCATTAAACGAGTTTTCTGTCGAGACTAATTATGAAATTATACTTTAACAATTTTTCATAACTGCGAAATAGGTACGACCCACGGTGTTTAAAATAAAATAAATTAAAAATGCACGTTGAAATTCAAAAAACGAAAAAAAAACAATAAAAAATGTGTCAATTTTTAGCGATTTAAAGTTATACCTACAGTATTAATAGTATTATTACTGAGAAGCCCGTTATTGATTATTATGTACATATAGGTAAATACAAATATGATATACTGCCTGTGAGCCTATTTATTACTTCAAATCTAACTGTGATAATTTTTTTAATTTAATCTTATTGTAATTAAAATTCTTAAAAAGTACAAATCAAAAACTATTGTTACAGTATTTATTTTGATTTTTGATATAAAATGAAAGGTACACCATAAAAATATTCTACTTCAATTTAAAATATTATGAAATTAAAAATATAATTATTATTATTATAGGAAGAAATATTAAAAAGTCTTGAACACGAATATTGATAACTTAGAAAACTATTATAACGTTTACATAAAGTTATGTTGTCTTATAACTTACAATTATGAAAAAAGCAAGTATCTATACCTTTTTTAATGTACATATTATCTATTATTTACTACGTATTGAGTGGCCTACTGCAGGCTACTCAGTTACTCAGCTTCTGTTTTTGTTTAAAAAAATATATACAATTACGTTAAGTATAATTATAATTATTATAAATAATAATAAATACTTTGACAATATATAGATATTATACCTATATGGCTATATCTATATACTTCCATTACATCTTCATCAAAAAAAATCTTGGGCATGCAGGTATTATATTATTATCGCCGGTTTAATCTACATAATATTACGAGTATATTACTTATACATTTATACGAGTTTTTGTAGGGTTCTTTTTTAGTTTATTTATTATTTAAAAATTTAATCTTGTTTAAACTAAGAGTTGGTTTTTTTCTATTAAACATTTTACATTTAAATAGGTATTATTATATTATGTACATTTATGATATTATTATGTAGGTATACTACGCGTCTAAACACATACTTCAATTTTATTATTTTATTGTTACGCCACGAATTATACATTATTATATTAACATATTATAATTTGTATTAAAATAATGGTCTCTGATCAGCACCTAATCGTCTAACGTCAGTCTTTATGATCACATAAATAACGATGGCGACGACGAATTTATTATAGATACGGTTTTTATTATCATTATTATTATTACACACGCAGCGGTTTATAACAGATGTGATGAATCTTATAACTTTGACGGGTTACACGAAAACCAGCAAAGTGCCAAAGTCTATAATCATTTTTGTGTATTATAATTAATTGTATTTTGTTTTCAACTTTTCAATGTATATAACGTGCCACACGCGATCGTGGCCTATATACCTACGAAGACTGATCGACAATCAAACACGTGTTAAGTTGTCCGCTTTATTATAAATTATTTTAAATACAGCATTTATTTGTTTTAATATAATACAACCAAAACACATTTATTTAATATATTTTTTTTAAACATCTAAAAGTTAGAACGTGTTTTGGATCAGACGTCGTCACGTAGGCGAGGCGTAAAGCTAAAAACAATAAATGTACCTATCTATCAGGAAATGACTTGCATAATATATTTGTATTAGATTACTTATATTTATTGTTGTTTGCTATGTTTGGATGAATTTTCAGCTTACACTTTCTGTCTTGAAGCTTTGTTTAATTATTTTATGCAACGGATAGATAAATAATCTGAAAAAGCTTAAATTATCTAAGACTTAAAACAGGCGGCATAATTTCCATTGAAACGAGTGGTAAGTAGGTTTAAAATTTAAATAGCCCGTTACCTACCAAGAACGCGTCAAACGCTAAAATTCTTTTGTTATCCGTTTCACGAAGTGTTGAACTAGATTTTTTTTTTATAATATAAGTAAGTGAAAAAACAAATATTATGATTTTTAACTACCATTTTATTTTATCGCCTATTCGCATTATACTATAATATCGTATCACCTATACCTGGAACAGTTAATCATTGGTATAAATTAGAAGATTTAGCCCTTCCTAAGATTAGTTACTTCATTTTAATACTTAATTTTAGTATATAAGTATAAAGTAATCTTTATCACAGTAAATTATATAATTTGTAATTTATATTTATAACCAATGAAAATAGTTTTAAATTTAATAATAGTAATAATGTATTGGTAGGTTTTCATTAATGTCGTATAAACAGTTAATGGTCTGTTAAACCATATAAGTAATTAGCAGTTATAAAAAAAAGTCTGTCGCATAGAATGCATAGTCGTCCAAATATCTAGATATACATTTACAAACAGCAAACGTGTGTGTGCGGCCGCGCGGGTATAATTACACCAAGTCATCCAAACACATAAATATCACTGATAATTAAAATTGTGCACATGGAGTGGGTGGAAAATGAATTTCCCACTCTTTTTCTTCTCGAGACCTTTTGAATTCAAACCTTGTATGCGTTTAACGACGTTTATCTACGTCCATGAGTCTATATACTTATGAGTTATGGACTCATAGCAAAGCGACATTTAGTGTTGTGGTCCATTTTAGTGTATAGGAAATAATAATGTAGTTACATAATGAGGATGGTAAAGAGTTTCAATCCATGCTACGATTATTATTTTTTGAATTACAATAAAACAACTAAAATCATTACAAGAAAATCGTTATTTTTTGTTAAAATTGAATGTTTATATAAGGAGGGGGTAAAAACAATTTGGATAAATTGGACACAATATAACCTCTTTCAACTTGCGGCCCGAGGCTATAGCCCCCCCCCCCTAAACCTCCTTGATCCCGTCCTGATTATAACTAAAAATAAAAATTAATGAACTCTGAAACTCTGAATTTATAACACTACATAGCATTGGCATACCATACACGAGTAATTGGCCAATGGGTACTTCAGCATAACCGGATCTGAAAATATCGTCGTCAAAGGAGACTTAGGATAATAAATAACATATTACAAAAAGACTTAAGGGGATACTTTCAAAATAAAAAGCTATAAATATCAATGGGTGTACTTCTACATAGTGTCGAATTTAATAATTTGAAATTCACGTTATTGAATTATCATTTATTAATAGATATTTATTATATAAATATAACTATAAGTTTTTATGCAATAAAGTCAATACTTTATATGGATTAAACTTCTTCTCCAAAAGATTTTTTTCCTCAACGAAAACACAGCAAATCAAATTAAAATTCATTGATTTTGTTACAATTATTTAGTTTATTAGTTATTAATCAGTATAATTTTGAAACACTCTGCAATAAGATATTAACCACATGCATGGTTTCCTACGATCTTTCTATACTTAGCTTTAAACATTTAAACATAAAGTTTTTCTATAATATAGAACATATAAATTTAGAATACAGTTTAAAGATTTTATTTTTTTATTTAAATGACATTGAGTCATTTTAGGGACAATTTATAACCGAATAATATTATATTCACAATTAACATTCGAATTGCTTGACCATTAAAAAATAGCTAATTATAGTATAATGGCAATTTAATACTAATTATTATTTTGAAAATTAGAATTCATATCTTAAATAAATATTATTGTAAATTTTTTTTTCAATTTTTCATTGAATTTTAAATAATATAATAAATTATATTATTTATTTGATTACGACACTTCTGTTGGGTATCCGATGGATTAAATCATATTATTATAGCTATGTACAATATAAATTCAAAATACAAAGTCTTTAAATTTAATTTTAAAATGACATTAATTTCATATAAAGTGCAAACGGAAGCTCTAAGGTCAAATTTAATCTTTTTGTATATTTATTTTAACCCATATTTACAAACGATGATATTATCTAAATATAAAGAACCGGCAGAACGACGTTTTATATTTTTAATCCGTTCAAAGTGTGAGTCACAGAATGAAGTCAACGAATGTGCTACTATTTTATCGAAGGACATTAAAATTGGTGTGTACTGTGGAGATAGTTAAATATTATTTATAGACTTTTCAACGAGCTATGGTTTTGTCATTTACTCAACTACTATTGTTATATAAATCATTTATATACGCTATTTATATAATACAATTTATAAAATATGTATAATATATTAAGCTAAATCGAAATGAAAAATAAAAATAATTACCGATATAAAATCGATTTATTATAAATTATAATATTATAATATTTCATCGTTGTCGCGACGTGCAATAAAATATTTATACTTAATGTTCCATCGATATCACGTATTAAGCGATACAGTAGTAACGTAATATGATATATACTAATTTACCTATTTTATGAATTATAGTTATAGTGAACACAACGACCTAATGGAATACTATCAGATCTATTAAATCTAAAATATTATAAATAATAATATTGTATTCTTATAAAATTTAACAATTTTATACAAATCGCTATTCTATGTTTAAGAGACAGTTAAATATTTAAGGAATCGTCACAGACTGTTACAAACAGTCAAAATCTTTAATGCAGATCATTGATTAACAAAAAATATCTAATATAATATTATATTGTATATGGCACAAAGATACGATCGCGAAGACACGGCGTTTCGGGTAGGCAATTTGTAACCATACTTGATCGACTGGTTTCAGTCGTATC